GGGGGACTCTTCCTGGAGAGGGAGAGGAGGGAAGGGTTGAGGGCAGGGGAGGGACTAGGCTATATAAGGACTATATTTTCCAAACCAAAAATCAGAATTGGTAAGAGTATACTTGCAAGGGCCATGGGATTGCGGGGGGGGGGGGTAGGGATTGAAGTCAAGCCTGTCCCAGAATAATGCAAATTCTGAGGCCCCCACTCCAGTCATCCAAATATAACCCTGGAGGAGAGAAAAAAAACCCAGTCTGTCCCCTCCCCCCAATGCTCTCTTCCCTTCACTTGGCCTCTGTCTCTGCTTATCTGATACAGTAGGTTATGGTGAGCCAGGGAGGGTCTTTAGGCTCTCCAGGGGCGAGGTTCTCCCAATCCTTAGTCTGGGCTGCAAACTGAGTCCGCGGAGGCTGTAAATGAACTTGGAGAAGTGGAGGGCAGAGGCTAGAATCAGGGGAAACATGGAGGGACCAGCCAAAAGGACCAAAGGCAGAGGGGCCTCTCCTGTCTGCCACACTTCCCCAGACCCTGGCCTCCTGCCCACTGTCCCCCTAGCATTCCTACCCTCACCTGGACCCAGCCTGGGGCTTTGACGTGAGTTAGCAGGGGCTGTCCGTGTCCATGGATGCCCAGCCAGTGTATCAGATGGGGCAAAACCCCTAGGAGGTGACCAGGGAGGAGAGGCTGCTGGAGCTGGAAGCTGCCTTAGGCACGATGACCTCTTTGCAGGGGCGCTCTCTCCAGCTTGTATAACACAGCTCCTGCCAAGGTTGGTATAGAAAGGCACAGAGCCCACAGCGGGCTGGGGAAGGCCGCTGAAAAGGCAGCTTAAGGGCTTCCTGCTGGGTGAGAGGGATTAGGGGCCTGTGGGGAGGGAGCCAGGCAGCAAGAAAGGCACTGGCCCAAAGCCAGAGCCCCTTGGCTATAGGCCCTCTGGGATGAGGATCCCCAGGGTGTCTAGCGGGCTGGGGTCAGCGCTCTCCACCTGGATGAGGTGCTGGGAGAATAGGGATTCAGCCAGGGCAACATACTGGGATGAGGAGATTCCATGGAGCCCCCAAAAGGAAGGGAGGAAGGAAGGTTAGCCAACACTCCTGGATGAACTAGCACACTTTTAGTCAGAAGGGGGAAGGAGGGACCGAATGGACTACCCAGCTATTTTGTCCCTTGTCCCCTCCTGGGCTGCCTCCCACATGCAAGGTTTCATCTCAGAGGCTCCCAAGCTAGGAGGGGACAGCTCTCTGCTTCTCAGGACCTCCAATGTGGAAGAGAATGAAGGGGCCCCACATGGTCTGAAGTTCCCACAGGAGCATGGATTTAGGGGAAGAGCCCAGGAGGGGCTCTTGTCACCTAGAGACCCTGGGCAGAGGCCTGGATGGGGACAACTAGGGCTGGTCTCACCCTGGCCCTGGGCTCCACTGTCTAATGTGTGAGTTGGGATCTTGGAGGCCACACTGTGTGGGGGAAAAGACCTGTTCCACTTGTGCTTCTTGTCCGAGAGCTGACACATGCATTCTGGAAACTGTAAAGTGCTATATAAATGTGAAGTACCCAGACCCCATCATCCCTGGAGTGTGTGTGTGTGTGTGTGTGTGTGTGTGTGTGTGTGTGTGTGTGTAAAAGGATGGATGTTCCCAGGAAGGGGTGGGAACACATCGAGAACTGGGGACTGCCAAGCCAGGTGCTTTGCATGTCTATAACCTCAAAAGAACTTTAAGAACATTGTATTATTGTTGCCCCCATTTTATAGATGAGAATACTGAGGCTTATAAGGTAATGCAATTTCACATCCAAGTTTATAGAAGTTTATAAAATGGTGCATCCAAATTAGAAGGCAAGATTCTCTGGTCTTTAAAAGGTTACCTGGCCCCAGGGTTCCTACGTTTAGAGGATTTCTTCAGAGGTTTGGATCCTTCTCCTCCCTGGTTGGGCTCAGGCTTAGATCCCCAAGACCTTTCCCACTCCCACTCCAGAACAAGACCTTGAGAAGGCTGGAAAAGGGGATGAAGTCTGAAACAGGGCCCAGCTGACCAGATAAGGTACACGTGGCTACCAGGGCTATTTTCTGGGAAGGGGCTCCCGCAATGGGTACTTCAAGCTCAGGGCATCCCTGGATCAGAGCTGCCCTGTCTCCCAACTCAGCTGGGCCAGCCCCCTTCTTTGTGCTCGGTTTTTTCCCACAGCCCCGCAAGGGGGGTGCTGGGATCCCAGGCCCACCCCCTCCTGCTGGGCAGCACCCCATCAAGCCCCACCATAAAAAGCTCGGCCGTGGAGGAGGAGGGGGTGTCCTTACTCGGAGAAGCCATCGGTGCCCTTCTCCCTTTCTGGGGAACAAGAAGCTTGCTAATGGCTTGGGCCCCTTCCCCAGCCCCTGGCCCCAGCCCTGGCTCCCCCAGACAAAAAGCTGCTTTACATGAGAAGAGCAGGCTGGCCTGGCCTTCCCCGGGCACTCAAAGAGGCGGTAGCCCCTGACAGCCGAGAGACTGCCCCTTCCCCCACTCCGAGGCCTCGTTTAGTTGCAATTAGCAATTCTTTGCAACCCACGGGGCTGAGGGGGGACGAGCCCCTCACCTCCCAAACCCGGCCTCCACGCCTGGGCTCCCTTCCCCTCCTCCCTCCCCACCAGTCTCCTCCTCGCTGCCCCACCCCCAGCTCACGGCTAGTCTGTCGGCTTCCTTAGAGTTCTCCAAGGAACCCAGCAACCAGAGGGGCGCCTCGGGGCGGGACAGGGTTTGCGAGGGCTGGAGGACCCCTTCCTCAACCCACACGGCCCCTTGCCTCCTCTCTTCCCACTTGCCACCCCTCTCCGAGTCAGGCTTACATCTTGGATCAGTAGGAGGGGTGAGAGATGGAAGGAAGAGATTTTAGGACCGGGAGAGTGTGAGCTGGTGGCGTAGGGCACAGGGTGCTGAGGGAGGGGAGGAGGCCCTGGCTCCAGGAAAGTCTTCCCTGGTTGGCCTGACCCTTGACACTGCAGTGGGCTCCCCCTTTCACTCAGGGCACCGCCGTGTAGGGCTGGGAGCCCAGAGCCTGGACTCACCTCCAGCCAGGCAGTGGGAAGATGGTGCCATCTGGAAAATGAAAGGGGAGAAAAAGAATTTCAGGGCCCTTTTCTAGGCTCACACAAATCCACTGCTTGGTGTCCGGTCCCTGTGAAGGGTGGGGTTGGGGTACGAGTGAGGGAATGGGGGGAGAGAGGTCTCCAAGCCTTTTAGCCCCATTAGTAGTTTCTTCCAGGGTAACTGCTTTCTGCCCAAGTCTCTGGTAGTCTCTTCCTGACGCCACCAGGGGGAGCCCTAGGCACAGTGGGCGCTCCAGACTGGGGAGAGGTGGTGATGTCCTGCTGGGTCTGCACTAGAAGGCCTGTCCTTCCCTGAACCTACAGGACCTTTCCTCCTCCTTGGATGGAGAGTGAGAATCCCTGGAAGAGAAGACTGATCCTCTACGGGAATTCTGCTTCCGGCTTTAAAGAGTATGTGGAGGGTGGGACAAGATACCAATATTGTGGTTCAGATGGTGATCAAGGGACAAGGCCAGGTAAAGGGACTGAGGCTCCCCTGGGGTTCTCAGCTCTCAGTGCAGCTGCTTTGGAGGAGTCCAGGATTTCTGGCTGGTGTGGTCTTTTAGAGGTCTCCAGGATTTAAGAAAGCAATAGGACAGGGGTGACTTAGACGCAGAGCCCAAGGTTTGCAGCAGAGATGAGCTGGGTTGTTTTGGGGCTCCTCCATTTTAAGTACTGATATTACACCACCCACACAAATGTGTGGGGAGGGCACGGTTTAGGCTTGGGAAATAAGAAAGAAAAATCTGGCCCCTTTTACCAACCTTCAGTGGACTCTCAAAACTCCTATCCTTGGAGCCTGGTCTCGCATCACAACCAGGGAGGAAACTGTAGACAGAGGCGCCAGGTGGTTCTAGGGAAGGAATCACTTAGGATTATTTCCTGTGGAATTTGCACGTAGGCCCCTTTCCCATTCGAATCCCCCAACTTCTGTTTGCGGCAGGGGGTGGGGGGGGGGGGGGGGGAGAGTGCCCCATAAGTGAAGAAGAGATGTGAGTTCCCACTCAGAGCTGAAGGGCCCAAAGGAGTAAACAGACCAAAAGATAGGAAAGCTGGGTCCTTGCCCCCAGGGGAGGAAGGCAGGGTCAGCCCCTCCAGAATCTGTCCAGGAGATTCACTGGGAGGCCTGAAACCCAGATTCCTCCGAAGGGCTGGGGGAGGTGAAACGTCGGGACACCTGGGGTCTTGCCTCTTCTTGCTGCTGAGGTGCTTGGGTCTCTGGACCTGAGAAGCCTGTGAGGTCCTCCTGGCCACCCACTGCCCCTGGGAGGAGGAAAACATTTAAGGGAGGTCAAGTGTTGGGATCTCTGGGCAGGAAGCCTTTGCGAGCCAAGCCGGAGGCAGGAAATGCTCCCCAAGAGTTATCCTCCCACAGCGACCTCCTCTGAGGAGTCGGGTCACTGCACTCCCCTCGGGGAGCAGCAAGGCGGAGGGTGGCAGACCTGCCATTCGCTGCCCCGCCCCCTTCCTCCCCCCACCCTGCCAGAGCCTCCCTGCTGGCCATTTCCCCAGTCCCCACAGGCCCTCCTCAGCTTTCAGTTTTTGGAGCTCCATGCTGCCAAGAATCTTGGCCCCACAAAGCCCCTCCCCACCCCCACCCCCAAGTCGGAGGTCCACTGGCCTTGGCTCCCCCAGGAGCACTAGATGTCCCAGCCTCCCTGGTAGACTTGGGGTTCCCTCTGCTTTGCTGCTTTGGCACTTGCTGTCCCCACTGCTTCTCTCTGCGGGGCGGAATCCTGCACACCTCTGGAATTGTCACTCTGTGCTGGAAGCCTCCCTGGGTTCCTATACCACCTTGATCTCACTTCTCAGAACACACACCGCGTTTTCGCTTGGTTTTGAATTATTTGAGATCTTGTCTGTCTGTCTGTCTTTCCACTGGGCTGAGAGATCTTATAACTCTGCCCTACAGAAACAGAAAGTGAGCTGGCTATACCATTTGAAGTGTTCTTGTAACTGTGTTAAAAAGTAAAAGAAGGACGCCTGGGTGGCTCAGTCAGTTAAGTCTCCGACTGACCCGGGTTATGATCTCACAGTTCGTGGGTTCGAGCCCCAAGTTGGGCTCTGTGTGGACAGCTCAGAGCCTGGAGCCTGCTTCAGATTCTGTGTCTCCTGTTCTCTCAGTCCCTCCCTGGCTCTTGCTCTCTCTTTCTCTCTCAAAAATAAATAAACATTAAAAAAAAAAAAAGTAAAAGAAACAGGTGATGTTAATTTTGGTATATTTTATTTAGCTCAATATATAAAAAAATCACTTCTATATGTAATCCATATAATAATTTTTGTAAAATATTTATTTATTTATTTAGAGACAGAGACAGAGACAGAGAGCACATGAGCAGGGAAAGCACAGAGAGAGAGAGGGAGAGAGAGAATCCCAAGCAGGCTTCATACTGTCAGCTCAGAGCCCAACACGGGACTCAAACTCATGAACCGTGAGATCATGATCTGAGCCCAAATCAAGAGTCGGATGTTTAACTGACCGAGCCACCCAAGCACCCCTCGATATAATTATTAATGCTATATTGTATATATGTATTTTTTTTTTCAAAGTAAGTCTTTGGAATTCAGTGTGTATTTTACACTTATAGCACATCTCAATTTAGATGAGTCGTGTGCTCAGTAGTCATGCGGTTAGTGTTACCATATTGGACAGTGAAGCTCTAATCAGAGATGGAGCCCCATGTCTGTACTAAAAGTAGAGATAGCATGTTGTTTAAGAAGCCCAGTTGTTTGAACCAGACTTCTTGGTTGAATATTGGCTCAGCCACTAGCTGTGTGACCTTAGACCAGTCCCTTAACCATTCTGTGCCTTAATTGTCTCATCTGTAAAATGGGCCTAACAAGCCTTATAGGTTATTGTGAAGAGTATGTAAGTGCTTAGGACAACATGTGGCACATAGTAGTATTTGCTCAATCAAGGCTGGCTGTCTGGATCTCTGCATGATGAGAACCTTGGCCCCAAACAATTGTTAGCTGAGACACTGAATGAAAGAAATAGTCCTTTGCCCTGCAGCAGAATGAAGCAGAAGAAGCTGGTTGGGGTGAGTGAGTTTTGTCTGGAGAAATTGGAACAGGACTGGAGAAGAGAAGGCTGTGGGTGGCTGGCAGAAGGCCCTTCAGAGGGCCAGACGGAGGTTTATAGCTGTGCTGCCATGGAATTTGGAAACAGTAACAGAGCAGCATAAGGCCAATATGATTCATTGCTGAAATGAAGCTTCTGGGGTTCTAAGAAGGGAGGTCTAGAGCTCTGAAGCCTTCAAAGAGCAGGGTGAGGTTTAGAAAACCAGCCAGCAGTGGGTGATGGGGAGCTTGCTGAGTGCTTGGAGAAAGGGACTAGTTAGGGCAACTAGTCAGGCCCACCCCTCCTGCAGGTACCCTCCCTCCCTGGCGTCTGGCCTCTAGAAGGCTGCAGTTAACGGCTGCGGGCTGCATTTTGAGGCCACAGCGCCCTCTGCTGGATTTGGGGGACCTGGGGCAGCAGCAAGAGTAAATGGTACTGGAATTTAGGGGAAGGGGTGACAAAACGCTGTGCGCGCCAAGTTCTGTACCAGATAGAGTCCTTCCTGATCCCCAGATACCCCCCAGGAGATCACACAATCAGAATCCCTTGACGAGGACGGAGGAAGTTTATGGAAAATGATCAACTTCTGGGACACCTGAGGGGGCTCAGTCGGTTGAGCGTCCCACTTTGGCTCAGGTCATAATCTCGAGGTTTGTGAGTTCAAGCCCCACATCCGGCTGCTGTCAGCCTGTAGCCCGGACCCCGCTTCCCATCCTCTGTCCCCCTCTCTCTTCCCCTCCCCGCTTGCGCTCTTTCAAAAATAAATAAACATTAAGAGAGAGAGAGAGAGAGAGAGAGAGAGCAACTTCTGAACCTCTGAATTGTAAGTGTCCGTCCTTTATTTGCTCAGTTGGTATAAATGTGTACTATATTAATTTCTAGGGCTGGGAGTTAGAGGCAAGTAATAGTAATAGTAATAATAATAATAATAGAGGCAAATAATAGTAATCATCACAATAAAATTAATAATAATAATATTGCTTTTGCAGCTAATGCTTATATAGCCCTACTATGTGCCAGGTGCTATTCTTTGACACAGCTGACAGACAGCGGAGCCAGACGGAACTGAGCAGCATAAGGCTCACCATAAGTCTGACACCAGTGTGTTTACTGAAACTCCATGAGATCTACTGCTTCTCAGAAATAATCAAGACTAGTTTTCTCCTTTATGTGAGATATAGTGAGGCCAAGCGCTTCAGGTATCTGGACGTTCCTCTTTTGGTTTCTGATTCTTTGACGACTGCTAAATAATTTTGGAGAAATTTGAGTTAACATTTATTGATTTGTTGTGCACTAAATGTATGCCAACCACTGTGCTAAGCCCACTGTTGGATTATCTCACTGAAGCCCCACAATTGCCCTATGAGGTGACTACTGTTATCTCCCCCCTTTTACAGATGGGGAAGTGTGTTAGTTTTCTATTGCTATAAAACAAATCACGTCAGGGGTGCCTGGCTGGCTTAGTCAGTAGAGCATCTGACTCTTGATCTCGGGCTTGTGAGTTCAAGCCCCACATTGGGTGTGGAGATTTCTTAAAAACAAAATCTTACCATTTTAACAACAACAACAAAAAAAAACCCCCTGCAAACCTCATGGCTTAAAACAACACACATTTAGGGGTGCCTGTGTTGCTCAGTTGGTTGAGCATCTGACTTCGGCTCAAGTCATGATCTCGCAGTTGACGAGTTTGAGCCCCGCACCAGGCTCTGTGCTGACAGCTCAGAGCCTGGAGCCTGCTTCAGATTCTGTGTCTCTCCGTGCCTCTCTCTCTGCCCCTTCCCCGCTCATGCTCTGTCTCTCGCTGTCTCAAAAATAAACACTAAACAACAACAACAACAACAACAACACACATTTATTATCTTATAGTTCCTATGGGTTAGAAGTCCAGACATGGTTTATTGGGCCAAGGTCTCACAAGACAGCAGTCAAGATGTCTGCTGAATTGTTTTCTCATCTGGAGGTTTCACTGGAGAAGAGCCTGTTTCCAAATTCGATCAGATTGTTGGCAAAATTCATTTCCTCCAGGGTACAGTATCGAGGGGCCCGCTTCTTGCTGGCTGCTGGCTGCAAGCCACATGGGCTTTCCCAATGTATCAGTCAGTGTCTTCCAGAGAAATAGCACCAGTAGGATGTGTGTGTGTATGTATGTGCATGTGTGTGTATAAAGGCATTTATTCCAAGAAATTGGCTTACATAATTGTGGGGGCTGGCAAGTCTGAAATCCATAGGACAGACTGGCAAACTAGAAACTCTCAGACGGGAGCTGATGCTGTAGTCTTGATGCAGAATTTCTTCTTTATTCCTCAGGAAAACTGGTTTCATTTTTAAGGATTTTCAACTGATTGGATGAAGCCCACCCAAATTACCGAGGTTAATCTTTACTTAAAGTCAACTGCTTGTTGGTATTAACCGCACCTACAATTTACCTCCATAGCAACACCTAGATATGCATGTGATTGAGTAACTGGGGACTATGGAGCCTAACCAAGCTGACACATAACACTCACCATCACACCTAACGTGACTGCTTGCTTCACCAAGCCAGCAAAGAGCGTGGGTTGGCTAACAAGAAGTCATTTTGTATGATGTAATCAACCACGGGAGTGACATCTCATCCCCTTTGCCATATTCTAAAAATTTTTTTTTCAACGTTTATTTTTGGGACAGAGAGAGACAGAGCATGAACGGGGGAGGGGCAGAGAGAGAGGGAGACACAGAATCAGAAACAGGCTCCAGGCTCTGAGCCATCAGCCCAGAGCCTGATGCGAGCCTGACGCGGGGCTTGAACTCACGGACCACGAGATCGTGACCTGGCTGAAGTCGGACGCTTAACCGACTGCGCCACCCAGGCGCCCCCCTTTGCCATATTCTATAAAGTAAGAAGCAAGTCTTGGGTTCTGTCCACGATTAAGGGAAGAGGATCACACAAGGGTGTGAACATGAGGAGGTGATCTTAGAATCTGTCCACCATGGAAGCTAAGGCTCACCGAGGTTAGGGGAAAGGCCCAGCATAAGGCAGTGGTAAAGCTGGTGGCCTGTAAACCAGAAGCTACCCTGCTCTGCTCTTTGCTGGTTCCGTTTCCATGTGCTAGCCCAGATGATGTGCCCGGGTTCCTAGCTTTGCCACATACTCTTTCCACAAAGAACTTGGCCTCTCGTATGTTTAACCATCACATACAGGCTGAGGATGCCAAATCTGGGC